CATTCAGGAAGGCAGCGCTGGAGAGCGGGAGGCAGCCAGCGAGGAGGATCACACACTTTGCTCTTTTTGTTGTGCCGGTGGCGCCGGGCTCTCGCTGCCTTCTTCTTTCGGGAGGTGTCGGAGGGGGAGAAAAATACAAGATAATTCACGCCGGCGACGAATTCACAGCGAAACAGAAAAAATAAAAATCAGAAGAAAAAGAATTGCAAAATAAAAAAAGCGACAGAGACATCCAAAGTAGGTCGAATAAATAATCCTCTTCTTTTCCTCTTTCTTGCTCCTTCTTCTGCTTCTTCTGCTATAACACACAGAGCTAGTTAAAAAAACCCTGGAGATCGCCCAAAAATGTTCTTTTTTTAGTATTTTAAATAAGTGCTCTTCAGCCGGGAACCAACACCCTCCCTCCAAAAAAATCGTATATGTATAAAATAACGATAAGAAGAATACGAAGGGGGTGCCTCCTCCTCCTTTTTTTTTTTTAAGTTTAGCCCTCACTCTTTTTCAGGAATGGAGTGAAAGAGACAAGGAAGAAGGAGAAAAAGGATAGAAAGAAGAATACGAGGGAAACAACTAGTAGTATATGTAAGAAAAGAGGAGGAGAGAGGGCGAGAGAAGAGAGAAAGAGAGATTGAGAGAGAGAGAGAGAGGCGGAGGAGAGAGACAGAGAGAGAGAGAGAGAGGAGGAGAGAGAGAGAGAGAGAGAGACCCCAAAATTGAATGCGTTTAAACGGGAGGACTCGCAGAGCAGTGTTTCCGAAAGGGGGATCTGCGCGAATGTCTGTATATAGTGAACTTTGACACTACTATTGAAACTGACACGTTTCTATGGAGATCGCTGCCTTATATGGAGCTCGTGTCAAGGAGCCAAGAGAAGGGCTGCTGGCAACTGATAATCAAAGGCGACTGACTGGTCAGAGCCCTGAATCGGGGGGGAGAGAAAATGGGAGGCTAAGGTTAGCCAAGCCTCCCGCACGCCATTGGTTGGAGAGCCCCTCCCCCTCCTCTTTTTCTTTCTTTCTTTTTTTCCCCCTCCCTCTTAGCTACCTACTGACGGGGATGGCGAGGGGAGGAGGAAAGAAAGTGAGGGAGGGGGGTGTGCTTCTGACAAGCGCAATTTACATTGAGATCGCCCTGCGCTGCTATTTACTCTGAGACCTGATTAGTATGGGTCGTCTGTGGTCACACACACACACACACACACACGCACACACGCACGCCAGAGGGGGAAGGGATGGCGAGGGGAAGAATGCTTTGCAATAGGTAAAAAGAGAATTAGAAGGAAATTATTTTGATTTCTTCTGAAAAGTTTGTAAAATTAGGTTCTATGAGCGTGAAGAGTGTCATTGAAAATGTTAGGAACATTTTAAATGGGAATTAAACTCTTACCATTGTAATGATTCGTGAAATATACGGGGTTTGGATTGTTTTCCTCTTTCATATATAAGTGGATTCTGCTCCCTTTATATTCATTTAAGAAACAAAGTAGGGGACTCCGTATTTTTTGGTCCAAAGTATATTTTGGTTTTAAAATTACAGCTTTAATTACAACAAAACGCACTCCTGGAATTTGCAGCTCTTGCCACCAAATCAATCCGAATCAACGGTTTCTCTTCATCCCAAAGATGATCTTAAAAATAAAGTTTTCAATCAATCTGATTTTTCCTTCTTTCTTCCTTTCCCCTTACTTTGGTATCTTCAGGCTGTTCCAAACTAAACAACGCTTCAACAATTACTAATAAAACAGTAGTAAGTGCTGCTTATATTTTTTGGGGGAGGGGGGTTATGCAGTCAAATCTCAGTCCCACAAAAAGGGAAAGGGGGGTCGAGAGGGAAATAAGATGGGAGATGGGGGGAGGGGAGGAGGGAGAAGGAAGGAAGGCAGGGAAGGGGGAGAGA